TAGGGTGGCCAGATCCAGGTTGGGGGACTCCTGGAGATTTGGGGATGGAGCCTGGGGAGGACAGTGGGGTCATAGGCGCCACCCTCCCAAGCAATGATCCCTCTAAGCTGTGGAGAGTCTTGTGAGCAAAAATTAGGGTTGCCAGCCTCCAGGTGGGGCCTGGGGATCTCCTGCTTTTACCACTGATCCCCAGCTAACAGAGACCAGCTCCCCTGGAGAAAATGGCTGCTTTGAAGGGTGGACTCTATGGCATTGTACTATGCTGAGGTCCCTCCCCTCCCCAAACCCCGCCCTCTCCTGGCTTCACCCCCAAAGTCTCCAGTTATTTTCCAACCCAGACTTGGCAACCCTAGCAAAAATTCTACTTTGTGAGCTACTGGCACTAAAGTTATGAGCGAGCGATTTGGCTGCTGCATAAATTCGTTTGCCCTGGAGCCCTCCTTCCTGAGTGAAGACAAAAAACTATGAGCTGGAGGCTAAAAAACGGTGAGCCAGCTCATGCTAACTCGGCTTAGAGGGAACACTGCTCCCAAGCATCCCGTTTTTTCTCCAGGGGAACTGATCTCTGAAGTCTGGAGAGGAGCTGGGATTCCGGGCAGTGTTCCCTCTGAGCTGAGTCAGTGTGAGCTAGCGCAGTTTTTTAGCCTCCGACTCACGCGTTTTTGTCTCCGCTCGGGAAGGAGGCCTCCAGAGCAAACTGATTTGTGCAGTGGCCAAATTGCTCGCTGGGAACTTGAATGCCAGCAGCTCACAAAGTAGAATGTTTGCTCACAAGACTCCACAGCTTAGAGGGAGCATTGGCTCCAGGAGATCCCCAGGCCCCACCTGGAGGCTGGCATCCCTATATCGCCGGGTCTCTATGGCATTATACCTAGCTGCGTCAGATCACTGGTACTGGCCCTTGTGTTTTCAGGTCATTTGTACTTTCTAACGAGGCTTTCATTGGGCACTTATATATTTTTAGCTGACTTTCCAATACATGCATTAATTTTTGTAGGTAACAGGTCTACACGAGGTTTTTAATATTGGTCCTTTATCAGGCTTTTTTCTTACCAGTGTAGAGATTTGAACCCTAGTCTCCCAACACTCTCAACACTCATGGAGCTGCGGTGGCTCAAGTGGTTAAGACACTGAACTGCAGGCTGTGGAAGGTCGGTAGTTCAGTTCGAGACCCGGGTGCCACATGACGGAGTGAGCTCCCATCCCTAGTTCCAGCTCCTGCCAACCTAGCAGTTCGAAAGCAAGAAATTGCAAGTAGATAAATAGGTACCGCTTCGGTGGGAAGGTAACAGCGTTCCGTGCGCCTTGGTGTTTAGTCATGCCGGCCACATGACCACGGAAACGTCTTCGGACAGCGCTGGCTCTTCGGCTTTGAAACGGAGATGAGCACCGCAACCCTAGAGTCAGATTCGACTGGCTTTCGAGCAAGGGAACCTTTACCTTTACTCCCAACACTCAGACCTCTATACCAACATTGGCTCTTCCCACAATAAATGTGTTCGTCTTTGAGGTATCACTGGTCTCTCATTCCCTCTCGCTTTTATTGACAGAACTGCTTTTACATTAACCCACCCAGAAATTGGGGGGGGGGGATATCACAATGAAACAAAAGCGAAATGTATTCGCCCAGCGTGGCTACCGGCCATCTTTGACTACGAGCTCAACAGAACTCCTTCCAAAGGTTCTTTTTTCCATAACTTTGCAGCTGTAGTTACTAATCCTGGGACGAAAACGTACAAGATGTTTCCTGTTTTACCAAAGGCCGATACGGACTCACCTTTGAGTCGAGCCACGGAGGACCGGGCTGCGTTCACAGTCCTTGACAGAATATGGAATGCAAGTGTGTGTGTTTTTTAATCTGCTCTTGTTTTCCCAGCCTGTTTTGGAAATCAGAGGAGGAGACGTGAAACGGATCTTCATGTACCGTACATAGGCAGGCAGAGAAGAGAGTGTTGTCAGTACACATGGATTTTCTTATATGAAATTGAAATAAGCATTTATAGAACAAGTTGTCAAAGGCTTTCATGGCCGGAGTTCATTAGCTGCTGTAGATTTCCCAGGTTGTGTGGCCGTGGTCTTGGCATTGTAGAACCTGACGTTTCGCCAGCGAAACGTCAGGTTCTACAATGCCAAGACCACGGCTACACAACCTGGAAAATCTACAGCAACTAATTTATAGAGCACTTTCTGGATTTTTTTTCAATCATCCTTCCAACAGCTTTGTAAGGTAGGCTAGTAGTTATTACAGAGTATCATGTGAAACTCCCACACTTTCCCACCCCTTCTTTCCATCCCCAGTTCAAGGAGGAGGAGGAGGAGATTGGATTTATACTTCGCCCTTCACTACCTGAAGGAGTCTCAGAGCGGCTGACAGACTCCTTTCCCTTCCCCTCCCCACAACAGACACCCTGTGAGGTAGGTGGAGCTGAGAGAGCTCTTCCAAGAACTGTCCTTGAGAGAACAGCTCTGACAGAACTATGGTTTGCCCAAGGTCATCCAGCAGCTGTGAGTGGAGGAGTGGGGAATCAAACCCGTTTCTCCCACATTAGAGTCCGCGCACTTAACCGCTACACCAAACTGGCAGGGAAGCTGGTATGCTCAAAATATGGAACTGAAGGAAAAGAGACCTGGGATCAATTTCGAATTCACCCACATGGTGCTTTTCAGATTTTCTCTCTCCCCTTCTGGTGTGCATGGATGAAAACATGTCCCGGGTTTTTGCTGCATGAAACAATGGTCAGTTTTAAAACAGCTTGTACCAGGTTTCTGAATCTACTCTGGAAAGTGAATTTGCTAATTGCCTTCCCGATTTCCCTGCACTGTACATGCAACTCTGGCTTAACTCTCTGCCTGGCCTACCTCACAGGTGTGTTGTGTGGATGACTGCATGGAGAAGCC